AGATAGATAGATAGATAGATAGATAGATAGATAGATAGATAGATAGATAGATAGAAAGATAGATAGATAGATAGATAGATAGATAGATAGATAGATAGATAGATAGATAGATATGTAGATGAAACAGGAGGGCTAAGGAGGAGAAGGAGGAGGAGAGTAGGAGAACAACAACAACAACAACAACAACAACAACAACAACAACCTTAATTAAATAAAGAAGAAGAATGACAACCCCAACAAGAACATCATCACCACCACTAAGAACAACGACTTACTCTGATTTTGAGAAAAGATTTTCCGCGAAGCTCCTCATCAGAGACTACCCAGTCATACTCAGCTGGAGAATAGAAGTCTGTAAGTGGAGAAGGACTGGTCATCTTAAGTAGGAGTTTCCTCCTTGTCACCTGAGCCAGGTAGTACAAGCCGGAGATAGCCCTCTGGCGGTCACCGAAACCGTAACAGTAGACTGTTCCGTCACACAAGTACACGATATAACGAGTAGTTTGCTTTCCTTTGCTATTTGCCCGGATTTCAGGGGCTGTATTGTTTTTGTTGTTTCGTATCAAGATTGTAGCACTCCGAACAGATTCTGAACTCTGTGCAGACACAACGTTTGTCTCAGTCGAGGTTTTCAAAGTATTTTGCGATGCTTTGGTAGTTGAAATGAAAGGATTCTTTGTACTTTCTTCTTTTAAATTGCCGCGGGTGTTAGTGCGGTCAGTTACGTCATTTATCGGCGGTGCTTTTTCAGGTGTAGCATCATTCAGATCTGTAGATACCATTGTGGTCATCAGAGATAACGACTTACTGTTTTCAACAACTTTCTTGCCGACGTGTATTCCATTCGAGTTTATCACAGCTTGATGAGATGGTGCCACATCGGCACCGTTCCTGGCAAGAGGCCTGAACTTTCCGTTTGTCCCGTTCTCGAAAATAATCTCCCTGCCTTTCATTTTCACCAGGGGGCTGCTCCCCCACCAGGACTTTTGACGTGGCGTCTTTACTTTCGGATGAAAAGCGAAGTATCCCCATAGCAGAGCCACTATGACCAGTGGTCCGACGAAGATCTTGTTCCCGCACCTGGAAATTGGACAAAGTTACGCATTATCATATCATTATGACTTTATGCATATTTAGACACAACGTAGGTCATTCAGGGGCCAGGCTGCTTCCACTCTGTCAGCAACAGCCACCATGGGTTGTGCAGGATAGAAAGCAACAGAAATATGGGCTTACTTTTTGGAGGCATCTTAGTGAAATCAGGCACTCGTCCAAATAATAAAATCCTAGAAACCTGTATTCTTTTGGCCGTCGGCTTTTTTTTCAAATTTTCTTCTTTTCTTTTGCTCATCTCCTTTAATATCCATTTATAAACACATTCTGTGTGGATTTTACAGAAAAATGTTGATCAAAGGCAAAAAATGTAAATTCACAGTTTCCAAGGATACTCAAGCTTTGGAGGCCACTAAACTTTGGTGGCATTTTATGGCTAATTTTACCTCTGACACCAGGCGACCCCGCCTCCTTCAATCGCGAATATCTCTACTCATATCCAAGATATATGGATATTTTATTCACCAAAATTAAGGCAAACGAGAAAGCTATAATGGTACCAGTATCTCCACATGCGGAAAAAATTGACGAGCACCTGATTCCACCACGTTAAGACACAATTTTCCTAAAGGGTGAAATCTACATTACGGTTTATACGTGGCCACGGAAGAGTCAACCCCCCCCAAAAAAAAAAAAAAAAAGCCCAAATAATTTCAAACAATCTGCCGCCTAAAGGTAGAGCGATATAATTGCAAGTTTTAAGATTTTGAGAAAAAACGCAAAAACCTTTTGACGCTAAGCATGTCTGAAGTTATAAAAGCGTCTACACAAGGTTGCATGGAAAAGTAGATGTTATGTCACTCTGCCATTGACAATGGGATTAATAAGGAATTTTCTAGAATAAAGCTAGCAAGTGTTTACAAACTAAATATCGATCTGTTAAGACAAGTTGATCCAAGTCATTGTGGAAAAGCTGGCGAGTTCAATAAATGAGGACAAACAAGTATTTGACAACACGTTGCGCCACGAATTTTTGACCACACTATAGTGTTACAAACCAAGATGATAAAACCCTTGGTATTGTCAAATGCATCGCCATTCCTTGGGACGACAGAAATACCAACCCTGCCACCCCCTCCCCCCTCCCCCACCCTCCCGGTGATGCGATGAAACCCACCAAATTAAAGATGGAGCGCAGACTGTTTTCACGTTCCCTGACTGTACTATGATAACTAGGCAAATACAGAGATCTAGCTTACGATTATTATTGTTTATATTGCTGCTCATTTACATTATGCTTGTGATTGTAAGCCTACGTGTGTGTGCATGTGTATGCGCGCGCGCGTGTGTGTATGTGTGTGTGTGTGTGTGTGTGTGTG